GATATCTTACTCATCTTCTACTGCATAATCAATTAAGAAACTAAGCAAGAAAAGATACCAGATTTGGAGGAGTTGGTGAAAAAATTTGTTAGTAATACGGAAGCACAATTTCAAACTAGGAAATAAGGTTCCAAAATCAAGATGTAGCTATTCGAAACATAGAAACACAACTTGGATGGATTGCTGATATGGTTTCCGGAAGAGTTCAAGGGGGTTTGCCAAGCAATAGTGAAAAGAATCCAAGGGAGCAACTAAAGGCTATCACTTTAAGGAGTGGAAAAGAACTTAAAAATGTAGGAAAATCAGATGAGAATAAAGAGAGTGTGAAAGTTGGTGAATTGAAGTAAGAAGAGCAACCTAAAAAACTTTTTCATGATCCAAATGTCAAACCTTATAAGCCCAAAATCTCTTTACCCCAAAGGTTTTTGCAAACTAACTTCGATAAATAATTTTCTAAATTTTAGAGGTGTTTAAAAAGTTATATATTAATATTCCTCTTATTGATGCTATTTTGCATATGCCAAGTTATGCAAAATTTTTTGAAGGAGATCCTTACCAATAAAAGAAAATTAGAGGAGTTCCAGATGGTGAAGTTAAATGAAGAATGCTTTGCCATTCTTCAAAATAAGTTACTTCCTAAGGTAAAGGATCAAAAGAGTTTTTCTATACTTGGTATTATTGGCAACGTTAATTTTGATAAGGCTTTATGTGAGTTAGTTGCTAGTATTAATTTAATGCATTTTCATGTGTTTAGGAAACTTGGATTTGGAGAACCTTTACCTACAATAGTCTTTCTTCAATTGGTAGACAGGAGCATTAAATATCCAAGAGGAGTGGTGGAGGATGTTTTGGTAAAGATTGACAATTTTATTTTTCCTGTTGATTTTATTGTTCTTGATATGGAAGAGGACTTTGAAATGCCTTTAATTCTTGGGAGACCATTCTGTGCTATTGGTAAAGCTCTTATTGATGTTCAATAAGGAAGACTTAGTCCTAGAATACATGATGAAGAGATAGTTTTTAATGTGTTTGAGGCTAAGAAAAATTCTGATCATGATAGAAGTGTTGTTTTAAAGATTTATGTGGTAGATAATTTAGTGGCTAAAAATTTGACTGCTTTTAGGTTAGATGATTCTATCAATAATTGTATTGTTAATGCGTTGGATATGAAAGCTTATAGTGCATATACTAAGCTTTTGGAGGTAGTAGCTATTTTTGGGGAAAAATGCAATAGGCAGCCACAAAAAGGAGGAATTTTTTTGCTTTTAGATGTTTCGTCTACTGTCAAAGTCAAGCCGTCTAAAAAGGAGCCTCTTACTCTTGAATTAAAACTCCTTTCTTCTCAATTAAAGTATGTTTATTTAGATGATTCAAATACTTTACCGGTAATCATTACCGCTTCTTTAACAGGAATTGAGGAGGAGAAACTCTTAAGGGTGTTGCGTGAATATAGAGAATCAATAGGATGTAGCATAGCAGACATCAAGGGAGTTAGTCCTTCGGTTTGCATGCATAAAATCTTGTTGGAGGATGGGTACAAGCCAATTGTTCAACCATAAAGACACCTTAATTCTAATATGTAAAAGGTGGTAAAAAAGGAGGTAATCAAATGGTTGGATGCATGTGTTATTTTTCTTATTTCTAATAGTACTTGCGTAAGTCCTATGCAAGTAGTGCCTAAAAAGGGTGGGAAAAATGTGGTAAAAAATAAAATGATGAATTAAATCCTACTAGAACAATAGCAGGGTGGAGAGTGTGTATAGACTATAGGAAACTTAATGAAGCTACTAAGAAACACCATTTGACACTGTCATTTATTGAACAAATGATTGAAACACTTGCTAGACATGAATATTATTGTTTCTTGGATGGTTATTCTAGTTATCATCAAATTCTTATTGCCCTAAAGGACCAAGAAAAAACAATATTTACCTACCCATATAGTACTTTTGTTTTTAGACGAATGCCTTTTGGATTTTGCAATGCTCCAAGTACCTTCCAAAGATGTGTGATGTGTTTATTCATTGAATTTGTTGATGAGTGCATGGAAATTTTTATGGACGATTTGTAGTTTTTGGTTTTTTATTTGATGCATACTTATATAATTTGTCCAAGGTGCTTAAAAGATGTGAGGAAGCTAAACTAGTATTGCATTGGGAAAATGCCATTTTATGGTTAAGGCATGGTGCTAGGCCATAAGGTATTTTCTAAGGGTATTGAAGTTGATCGAGTTAAGGTTGAAATAATTGAAAAGCTTGCTCTTCCTAAATCAATTAAAAAAGTTAGAGGTTTTCTTGGACATGTAGGTTTTTATAGGATTTCTTGGACATGTAGGTTTTTATAAGAGATTTATGAAAGGCTTTTTAAAAATTATTAGGCCTTTTACTAATCTCTTGGTTAAAGAAACACCATTTTTATTTGATGATGAGTGCATGAATGCTTTTAAATTGTTGAAAGAAAAATTGATTAATACTCCTATTGTTGTCCCACCATGTTGGGATTTGCCTTTTGGGATTATGTGTGTTGCTAGCAATGATGCTTTAGGTGCAGTTCTAGGACAAAGAAAAGATAAGAAATTTCACATTATTTATCATGCAAGTAGAACAATAAATGATTCTCGAAAGAATTACACTTTTACTAAAAAAGAGTTGCTTGCTGTAATGTTTGCTTTTGAAAGGTTTAGGCCTTATCTGATGTTGTCCAAGGTAATTGTTTATATTGATCATTCTGCACTTAAATATCTGCTTGCTAAAAAGCATGCCAAACCCAACTTGTTGAGATGGATTTTGTTGCTGGAAGAATTTGACTTAGAAATTAGGGATAAAAGAGGTATAGAAAATTTTGTTGTTGATCATTTGTCCAGGTTAGATGAGGGGCATGTGGAATGTGGGGATGATCAACCTTTGCTTGATGAGATTTTAGATGAGCAATTGTGTTTAGTTTCTTTGTGTGCTCTTTCTTCTTTACATTGGTATGTAGAGTTTGTTAATTATCTTGTTAGTAATGTTTTACCTCCAAACTTATCTTTTTAATAGAAAAAAGTTCTTTTATGATATTAAACATTATTTGTGGGAGGAACCATTTTTCTACAAGATATGTGGTGATGGAATGATTCGAGATGTGACCCCAAGAAGTAGATGCAATCTTGAGTTTTTGTCATGACAAAAAAGCTAGTGGTCATTTTGGTGCCTCTAAAACAACATCTAAGGTTTTGCAATGTGGATTTTATTGGCATTCTTTATTTAAGGATGCTTATGCTTATGTGAGTGCTTGTGACCATTGCCAAAGAACTGGTAATATTTCTAAGAGACATGAAATTCCTTTGACTAATATTTTAGTGTGTGACATATTTGATGTTTGGGGCATAGATTTCATCGGTCCTTTTCCTTCATCCTTTGATAAAGAGTATGTTTTTATTGTGGTAGATTATGTGAGTAAATGGGTAGAGGCTGTTGCATGTCCTACTAATGATGCTAAGGCGGTTGTTAAATATTTGAAGAGTAATATTTTCACTAGATTTGGCACACCTAAGGCTATAATTAGTGATGAAGGTAAGCAATTTGAAAATTTATTGACTAAATATGGTGTTACCCATAAAATTGCTAGTCTATGTCACCCCCAAACAAGTGGGCAAGTTGAGGTGTCTAATAGGAAATAAAAAAGAATTTTGGAAAAGACAATTAAATTGTCTAAGAAAGATTAGTCACTTAAATTAGATGATGCACTTTGGGCTTATAGGATAGCTTACAAAACTCCTATAGGTATGTCCCCTTATAAGTTAGTTTTTCGTAAGGCTTGTCACCTTCCTGTGGAACTTAAGCAAAAGGCATATTAAGCTATTAAATATCTTAATTTTAATGTGAAAGATGCAAGTGAAAATAGGAAATTACAATTGAATGAATTGGAAGAACTACGACTTGGTGCGTATGAAAATGCCAAGATTTATAAGGAACGAACCAAGGCATGGCATGATCTACATGTG